TCGCGGCCGCCGTGCAGCGGCGCCACCAGCACGGAGCGCACGCGCGTCTGGTTGGCCGGCCGGCCCGGCCCGGCCTCGTCGTCGTCGCCGGCGCACCTGCCGCACACGCGCCGCCGTCACCCCCACGTCCAGCCCGTTGGACGGAGAGGACCATTTGGGGCTTCGTTCTTAGCTAGTGCATCGGTGCGCACATTCAGCGCTTGGGTAACTGTTGTTGGGCCAGTTTTCAATAGCTTCACAGCTGAACCCGAATTCCAACGGTTCCGACGATTCTGCTACGAAGTGGTTGTACCGTCGAAAATTATTGTTTAGATTACGGTATAAGAAACATGACCCGTGTCCCGGCACAAAAGTACGATTTGAAGAGGCTAAACAGCATTGTTGAAGAGTTGTTCCTGATGGTAGTGTGTGTTGTAGCGTAACAAGTGTTCTCAGTTGCATATCCATCTGCTTTACCTCTTTACTATAATCAGCAAAATTGTATTTTTTCGTCTGTAATCTATTTGATGTATGTCTCGTAAGAGATATTTATGTGTATATTGATGCTCAAAAAGACGCCATCATTTTAAATGAGATTTTAACACACATTAATATCGTCTACATTTAGTACTTTTATAATACATTGACAGCGTTGAAGTATATTTTAAGAGAGCATTATAGAAACAATATTCTTTAGCTTAAACTTCTGAACTAGAGATGTGTACTACAATTTAAACAATGTCTGAAAATATAAGGATACATCCATCCATTCCGAATATCACAGGATTAACGTTAGGTGTATTTTTAATAAATTGTATTTTATGTTAATTATACCTAATTAAACTAGGAATAGGCATTATTATTAAGTTATTTTTTATAAAACTCAGGAACGCACGACATCGTTAAGACAAGATGTAGCTTTTCGATTTGCCACAACTTGTGGTTATCGGGACATGAAGGGCTTTGGCAGCTGGTGAAACGCGCAGCGTCGCAGCGGGACTCACCCTCTGGGGCAGGTGGACCAGGAGGAGAAGGGCCCCACGACGCAGTCCTGCGGGCGCGGGATGTGGCAGAGGCGCGCGGCGTCGGGCTTGCGCGCGGCCGTCAGGCAGTTCTCCTCGTCGACG